AAATGGAATATTTGCTCTTCGAACGATTTATATTTTAATACTATCTGTAAACAATCATATCCGATGAACGTTTTTGCATGCCTATTTAAATTCCCCCAAGTTCTCTCAGGAAGGGGGCCCCTGATTTTCCAACATAGCACGTCACATTAGAAACAACCTCTTTCTGCGCTACTTCCGAGGCCGAATTCGATGTTACGGTTGACATCTGTCACTTTTTATATACCTGATCTACATGCACCGTGCCGTACGTAAACTGCAGTGCAATATGGCGAACAAATTGATACAGCAAATTCTGAAACAAGAAGATGTCGATATATGCGATGTGAGAATTCGACGTTGTTCGGCGACCCAATCGGCCATAATGCTGCTCCTATTTTTCCGCAGATTGGCTTTTGTCTCGGTAAACACGCGGTCCTGAGCACGATAATACGGGGTGGTATTTGTAAGCAGGACTGTTTTGGCAGATGATAATTCGTACATGATGACTACTGTGTTTAGCCTGTATCCAAGACGATCGCTTGTGTTTTTTATGTGTTTCTTTTTTTGCTTTTGCGACGGCAATCGCGTCGCATGTGCGGACGCAACTTTATCGCACGGTTCAATGGCTGAGCTGACAAACACCGCTCATTTATCGATGTAATCGAAGTCTGAAGCAACTTGTTAAGTTTACCTTAAATACGATGCATCCCAAGCAAACCGCTATCGATATATTAACTACAAACTATAAAAACAGGACGTGTTTCTTAGGATGTTGCATCGGACAGTACGTTGCATATTCCATTGCTGCGTTTGTTATTGTTCTACACATTGTTACAGATTTATTATGAAATAAATCACGTAGAACGAAAGCTGCGTAGAAACTGACAGGCTCATTAGGTTAATCCAGCGAAGTTTTCGAATCACGGGTTACGCGTTCGTTTTAGGAACGTACTTCGTTTCGCGTTGGGAGCGTGTCGTCTGAAGCAGCGCTTTACGACAGTATTAGCTACTTACGCAGCATCAATAATTGGCCTATCCTGTAGAACGAAGAAGGTGGATCTTCTATTAGATTTATTGCCCTCTTAGGTATTTTATCCTTCATATCGGATGAATCCTCAACAAAGATAAAATAGTACTATATTAATCTAGAAGTTCATGTAGTATTTATTCGGGTGTGTCATATGGGCGTGACGAACCCAAAAAATAACACTTCTCTAATTAAACCTTCTCGCAACAAAAGTTGTAACTTTAGACAAGAATGTAGAAGGAGAAAAACTGAACAATTCAATGCATTTTTTCCCGTAATGCCCAGTAGATGTTCAATAAATTCATAAGTAATACCGCGTTTAGCTTTTTCTGAGCCCTGGATAAGCTACCGAGAAAGAACCGTTTTAATTTTCTACTTCTCGACCCACTACCGTACAGGGTGTAGCAAATCAACTTCGAAATTCGGCTGACACCTTTTCCTTCGACCAAATGATTCAATTTTTCGATTCCTGTTATGAACATAAGCTTACTAAGGGTAGTTCATAGAGTAAAGGAGATCAATTGCAACTAATAATGTTTAGGGCAACAACGATTTGCATCTAAGAGTCAATACTTTAGGTAGGTAATTTTTCCGTCGGTCTTCTGTCGCGTGCTATCAGCTCTGTGGTCAATTTTATTAGTGTGGTCTGTCCCTATCCTGACAAAATCAGCAAAACCCCTACGTTAAGCTTTCCTGCCCTCGTTCACAATAGAAATTTGCTCCCAGTCCGCGAAATTTTTGTCGTAATATCAGTGAATGAAAGCAAAAATATCTGAACAATATGGCATGGATAAACTGCATGAAAATAATCCATCTAGTAAGACGTCTAGTAATTTTTGACATTAAGAAATAGCTATTGCGAAATGTGGTAACGCGCGAAATTAAAAGAAAGGATTCTTGTGTTCGAAACGGGGGCATTTGAGGTTAATTGGTGCAAAACTTTCCAGCTTCACGGAGCCATCAGTGTGTAAAAGGATGAAAGATCTAAATGTTACTCGCCATACAGGTGAACGCGTACGGAACTAAGGGTCGCTTATTATTTGATTAACTTAAAACAGGTTGTCTTATTAATAGATTTCATATGACTTCCTCAGCCATATGTAGCAAATTATACTGCATCGTTTCAATTAAGTAAATAGCTTACATGAAAAAAATTAGAATTTTTTTAAGTTCCTTTCATGCGTTAACGTGAAGCAACATTGCTCCCGATTCGAACCGCATCATACGCAACTTACTACGCAACGGCAAATGATAAGCAGAATCAAAACACGAAGTGGAAGAACCACGAACGAAAACTATTGTGATTACCCACACACATATCTTTCCTGTTTGTTGTTTTTATTGTGTCTGTATTTTCTAATGTTCGCAGCTACCGATAGCCGTAACAGCCGCTAGCTTAGTCACTCGCATTCGTATTGCAATGGACAACAACGGAATCATGTTTTCAGAGGCAAACGCTAATCAAAACATATTTTTGGCTGGATCGGTACTTTAGTCCGTCGTTTTGGACCTAAGCAAAATTACTTGATGTAATATAACGCTGAAATTCACTGCAAAGTGCCGTCGATTATGGCCTGACAGCAAACAAAGCTTCTGTCTATATGGTCCAGCCGTCAACCAGACCGGACGTAAAAGCGCCCATCAGAAGCGGTCGCCAGAACTACACCAACACTTCTGAATGTCGTCTTATCGGATCAGCCGCTCCGCGGGCGTCGTCTGTTCTTCCGCAAATAAAGAATCGCCTCAATGGACCTAACCTTGATTAATGGATAGCCTTAAGGCGTTGGATATAACAACGACAACAGCAATTAGTACAACCTTTGTAGATGTTTCACGTACGATCATATTAGTAAACCCGTCGACGGTATTCAATTGGAGAACATAGGTGTGAATGGAGGAGAGATTGCATCGTGGAACCTCTTTGTCCAGACAAATGATTCTGTTTCGATTCGAGTTACTTCACACCGGTCTACCACTAATAAAGCGATACAACTTTACTTTCAAGCATGGTAGGCGGCTATGTTGCGACAAAGAGGAACCGAGAGACAATCTACAAATCTGTATCGGCGTTTACATTCATGGCGGTACGTCGGCGGCGACCAGACGGCGAGGCGTCGATCCCAGATATTTCGTTTCTATATTGCCGCTATGACCAGAAAGGTAGACTGCAACGACCTCTATCTCTCTGAAACTCCAAACGTGTGATTTATCGAGCTCTGGAAACAATAACATTCGTTAGACGAACTTGGAAGTCTTAAATTAGCGTACGTATTCTTTTTTCTCCTGCACTTTCACTGCATATGGATGCTTAAATAGGCTAGTGTTTGATACGTAACAATATCAAAAGAACCATTTATATAGATACGAAAAAACACAACCTACAGAACCGGACTCCGTTAGGCGAAAGCGACATTTAGCATCACGGGACTCCAATAATAATAATCAAGTAGACAATCGGTCGAGAGCTGCTATTTTCAGCCACGAAACATTCCATTAACATATCGATATTTATAATATATGACTTGGGTTAGTAAATGTCATATATATGTTGTCCCGCTTCAGTTATATTATCAGACAATAATGGCAGAACGATACCAAGGATTAATCGAAACACAGCCTTTACCGACTGTACATGTCGCGCGAAACACACTTGCGGTAGTGGCAGTCTGGATGCCGGACCCGTTCCGTTGACTAAGCTAGCTACGCTGCCGGACCAGTGCATCGTCGCCTTACTTTGGACCAGCTATGTCAACAGCTTGTATCAGCGTCCTACCCATTGGCCAAGTAGTTTGGGTTAAATAACTAGACTCAAACAGTGCTTGTGAAATCTTTTATTGAGTGACACAAGACCAAGCTGTCTGGTCTCTACGGTCATCTGCCAGCTCGGTGAAAGCGGTTGCACCTTGTGGTCGGTGTCTCGGAGGCAAAAAGCCAGACTCTGCCTAACTGGGTTGATGTTAAGGTCACGGCCGACAGATAACCACGCTTGTGTGGAGGCCCGGTTCATTGTCGAGGGCCGATAAGGCATTTGATGGTCCCGTCTGGGTGGGCTTTATTTACCTAATATCTGTAAATTCTACCGTCGAAAGGTCGTATTCTATTTAAGGGGAAATTCATCATAGGGAAGGTTTGCTGCGCTGTAAAGGATGTTTGATTCGCTTTCCTTCACGGTAAGTTCAAAGTGTCTCAAAGCCGGCATTGCAAAACTATTGGATTGGCAGCTTGAATCAATGATTAAGCAGGTTTCCCTTTGCTTTCTATGAATAGCGATCTGTTCTTTACAGCAAAATAAATCTTCCTTAAACTGGCACTACAGCATTGGCGCCTCTGTCGTTTTTTAAAGCACCAAAACTTCAAACTTTCGCCATCTTTTCATGTGACGGTGACGGTGACGCGCCCACAATAAAAACACATTTCGAGTTAGCATTGTTGAAAATTAATCCAGAGCAGTTAACCTCCTTCGGGAGATTCGTTAGCATCTAGAGTAAGATCTACGGCATCGTTTATAGAGGTCCGCTCAAAGACCTACGAATTTACTTTGTAAATGCGCAACATCAACGTATTCACACAACATTTACGTACAAATCAGCTAGGCGGCCAGGGCATGCGGTAACTTTTATGTATATTGACTTTAGATTTTTACATCATGTCTAATACGAACTCGATTTCTCTTACTAAGAGCGTCTTGTTGTTTCGCTTCATTATTACGCATTTACCAGCACAACTAATTCGAATGATCAAAGTTAGTTATGCCCATAACGAGCCTATCTCTAGCGCATCGGCCCAATTTTCCTCAGCCACCCAATGTGCGTTGTCGTGCCAACGATGACCTCACCTTAGCTACTACTAGCGTGCACGCCACCTGCGGAATCGTGCAACGCATGACACGATGCATATAAAGACAACCCACACTCTAACGTTGATACCGGGGCACTCACACATGTATAAACACACACGTGTGTTTTAGCTAGCTCTACAGCGGCAAAATACCCACCTGGCGTCGGAGCTCCTTCGGGATGTTCCGGACGGGGAGCCATCTTGAGGTCCGTCTCGATAAGAGAGTTTTGCCGCCAGCCTTTGTGCGGACCGTCGGATCACTGTGATCACGCTTTCTGCAAGTCCCCGTGAAACGAAATGGCGAATGTCCGTTTGTGTTCGTCACACATCCGTCAACACCAATCGCGGCAGAAGCCGCCGATACCGGCTGCTGCCTCTTCGAATCGTTTATAAGACCGTAGTAGCAAAACAAGTTTTCGCTTCGGTATCGCTGCCTGAAATGCTTCAGGCTGTCAACTACTGAGCTGGCACGCGTTACCAGATGACAGTGTCGTTGGTATTGATGCCGACACTTTATCGAAGGTTGTTGAGGTCGTTGATAGCAGCACCGTTCAAACTCGCAAACACCAAGGTAGCTGTTTGGATAACACCTATTAAAAATATGGACTATGATCAAGTTACGGTGTCTAACCGAGATCGACGATGAAGTGGCGGCAATCAAGGTTGCCAGCGCGTTGATGGGCGCTCGCAGAGCGGCGGCGGCGGACTGCGCCGGTTTCCCCGTAGCGATTTCCGTCTCCTGGAAATTTGCGGGGTTCGAATAGTACGACGGGATGGTGGCACCGGCGATGACGCGGCTGTACGCTGGGCGCATCGAGACACCCCTTAAGCGAGTGTCGCTAACTCAAAAAGTGGAGGTAACCAAACAATCAATAACAACAAAGACAACACGAAAACAGCAATACAAACAACAACAATACCTCACCAGTACGAGCTCCACAAAAGGCACAGATAGTATAATCTGGAAAATGAGAGACACACTATCGATCTCGTCCTATGCCCGTACGAAGGAATAGGCCGTTTTCGTTGTCTGTCAGTTTCGGCCGCTTGTTATTACAACATTGTCAACATCGATGGGCTAAGTAAGTGAGCACTCAGTTCACTAAAGACACATTCACATGACATTAGCGTAGAGTTACGATCAATGCTCACACGTGGTACTAATCGCAGCAAGCAACGCTCTCTACAGACTCAGAATAATTTCTAATAGAGCTGTTTTGTTGTCGAAATCACCACTGGGTAACGTAAATAATTGACTATGATCACTCCGGGCCGTACGCTTCTTTATGCCTTTTGTTGGTTGAATTGTAAAGACTCTGCTAAAGTAGACAACATCCCTGCGTTTATCAACAAGCTACGGTAGCAAGCTACAAGTCCGGTAAACTTGTCGATTTGCCTGCATTTTTCTTTTCTAAACGACCTTTAAAATCACCGCGGCAACATGCAATAAATCGCGGTTGCTGAACAATTATTCCAGGCTTTGGGTCCGTCCCTTTTTCCACCTTTGGCTAGGAGACGATCTCTGTTTCCGCCGTCGCTACGTTATACGTCAAGTCACTTGAAACGACTCGAAACACACACGAATTTCGTCACTGAATCGCCGCTAGCAACGCACAACTCATAACATAACGACAGACCTGCTCCTGCAAAAAAATTGCGCGTCCTGCTATGAACCTCACGTTGGAACCAACACGCAAGCAATTAAGCACCGTCACGGATCCCGTGTCAGAGAAGCTCGTGGCTTGAGCTTGCTACCTTAAGTCTTGCTTCGAAAGAATTTGGTCAGACCGAACGCTATCGCTCGGACCTCTCGTTTCTTCTCGCCAGTGACAGACAGCTTTTACCGCTACAAAACAACCATTGCCAGCGTTGCTTGTCCTGGAAGGTGCTAACAGAAACAACAGCAGCAGGAGCAGCAAAGCTCCCTATCTGACAACCCCTGTCTACCAATGGCTGTCTTTCCGTGACAGCTGCTACTACCGCTAGCTCTGTCGTAGAGCTCAACGCTGCAGCGGCGTTCTTGCCTGCCCTATATCGACCCTCGCTAAGGCCGACTCAATCAGAAAGGGCAGGAGGATGGCGCCTAGTCGCTCTCCGCCGCAAAGAGTCACCCGTCATCGTTTTCCGTACTCGCCTATCGAGAGATAGCAGCAGGAGCGGCAGGTCAGTCGTCCTCTATAATCCGTGAGCTCATTTACCAGAACAGCAGACCACCGCTTGGCTGGCACTGTTGTGCTGCTCTTACTTCTGCTGCTGTTGTTGGATGGCATCAACCGTGTGGCGGGCAACATGCCCCGATGACGTCACCGGGGCCCTTTCTGGTGCGACTCTCGCCTCCTGTATGCCCATGCGGCAGTGAACCTGCGCCGCGCCGCGCCGCGCCGCGCCGACAGATTAACCCAGCAAGGTAGTTGGGTTTTCGACAATCGCCACCTGGAGCGAGCGGATCAGTCAGTCCAGGGCTAGTGTACCGTGGTAGGTAAGGCGGCGTGGGGAGATCCAGTCGGCTATTGATTGAATTTGACAAGCAAAATTTGTTTGGAAAGCTATGGAAACTGGCATTTAGTGATAAACCATACAAAGACTATTCGCCCAAAGCGACTTCTATTGTGTTCGAAATGTGTGTTGGTATACAGCATATGTACATGGGTTCAATCAGCCCGCAGCATTCGAAGCACAAGGGCCAAGCTCGTATGAAGAGTATGAGTGGCAACAGCGTTTGGTATAGTACAATTTCCAGCAGCAGCTGAGTACCAAAGGTCAATAAAGGTGAGACCTATCCTATCCTATCCTATCCTCGCTAAGTTCTCCGTATTGTTGAAACTGTTGCTTCCAAGCGCATAGCTATTTGTGGACTGATATTACAGCATGTGTTATGTCCAAAGCCCGTTTGTTACAGAAATCCATCGTATCAGCGGTAGCCCTGGAGACTCCTGATTTGATAAGGGTGAGGGTACAGCGGAGAGTCGAATAGTTCAGACAGATGGGGCGAAAGCGCCTCAAAAGGGTCGCAAGAGATTACCATAGCGTAACCTTATGGTTGTGGGCTCTCAGTCTGGTCTGCGTCCATCGTCTCCAGCTATAAATTCTCTCGGTTACGTTAGTCCCGCTAGCACAGTGGAATGTCCTCATGCTCAGAGAACATGGTTCTACCAGTAGCATTAACGGAGCAATGGCACTCATATGATGATAGCCGTCAATAGACTAAGTACCGACTCCTATGGGCTGGGTATCAAAAAGGATAAACTACTACATTTTTTTATATATGGAAACATACGCCATTTTCTCAAATGTGTCTCTATAACACTAAATCTGAGCGAAACAGCTGTCTGCTTCGGGTTCAATCAGCAATCGATTCAAATTAGAACGCGGCCTTTAGCTTGCGATCAACTAGGAGCGATGCTGGAGCTTAAAGTTGCCGCGGAAGTTTACTTAATTATGGATAAACCTGCAGCTCTGTTCATTAGCCCAATTTGCACCGGACATTAACGCGATCTCTAGTTATCCTCCCTCAGTTTAGAACCAACTGTCGAAAAGGTATGGTTTTTTTTCGCGTTTTACATACGTTGCTAGCCACTCTGTACGCCGAACGCTGTAATACTGGCCAACCGTCATATGTCCAAAGCATGGTGCAATCAGATGGGACCCGATTTTTAGAGCTTGCCCGCCCTGAGAGCTGCAAAGAAGCAGGGTATCATGAATACCAGAAAAGCATATAGTCATATATATATATATATATATATACGATCTTTTGGTTTCTCCCGTTGATAAATGACCTCATTCGCTTTGTATAAAGGCTTGGCCATTAAACCAGCGGGGCGCATGAATAGCACACTCCTTTACCAATACGAGTTGGGTAGCCTTTTCAATATAAAACTGAAAAATTATTCTCGAGTGGGTGATTGGTTTATTAGACATAAAAAAAAAGCGAATAATATAGCCTACCTGTATGCTATGAGTGTACGTAAAAATGTTGATTTCGTTTAAATCTGTACAGTGTAATTGATAGATAGCAAACAAGTAAATGTAAAACAACCTTACCATTTTTTATAGTTGGCCAGTGTACAACAAAGCACGGAGTTACCAACTGAGCTCACACCCACCATATTTTCGAAATAGCTTCCACGGCTTTTGAGAGATAATCGCACATCGAATAAATCGGAGCTACTAGTAGTTTGGATTCGAAGTTGTACTACGGTCGTACTTCCGGTGAATTCCAGCGTCTCCTCGTTTTAAGCTTAGGTATTGGCGTATGGTTTAGTTATGGGGCGCTGGATCGTGTCGACCAAATCAACAAGCGATTTGCCAACATGGGGCATTGTGCAATTCGAGAGACTCAGAGTGGATTGGAGACATTAAAAACTAATGAATGTATACGCCTTCGATTTGCCAGCCTGCCTATCCTGAACCTGGATAGCGATAGAATTGGAGCGCAACTGCTCTAGCATTCTACAAAGATTATAAACGCCTATTACTAGGCTGGTCACATTGGTTTTATGATAGGGATGAAATGCGCAAAGGTCATTAAAGATTAAACCTATGAGTATTTATATTTATGTACAAGCGATCAGAGTGGGAAAACTATCGAAGATATTACCACCGTAACGTTTCGCGTTAATAACAATAATCGTGGTTCGTAGTGTTTTTCATCCATTTAACTCTTAACCATAATAGATTTGTGCTTAATAGAAATACCGAGTTATCGAATAGGTATTGAACACTTTCCTACCTAAGTGGTTTTTAAAGTCACATATCTCGGGTTATATGAGTCGCGTCGGGCGTCGGACGCTGAGATTCAGCGGCAGCAGCGCTAGTAGATGCGTTAAAATCGTCAAAATGATCTTCCTCGAACTCAAATATAACGCCCCGAAGGTACGTGGAGTTTCTGCGAACGAAACTGAGTTACAATTTTATGGCGATAGTTAGGCACAAATACTGCTTAGTTCATAAAAAAAAAGGTAGGTTTGATATTTATCGACCCAAAGAAGGTTACACATTTAATGTAAAAGATACTCCTTATGCGACGTTGAGTAAGCCCTACGCGCGACTAGCCACAATCTCGCCAAGGAACTAACAATCTACCGTTATAAACTATTTAAAATAAGTTGAGCTACAAAGAAGAAAGTTCGACGTTCGGCTGTTACACGGATCTTACAATTAAGAATATCTGCTTCAATTTTGGTTCGAAAACTATCGGAAAACTCTATAATTGCAAACTGATTAAGGCGTGGCCTTAATTTCTGTGGAACTTACCTAAGTTAAAGGCTGAACACGACGTGACTGTATTAAGTGCGTGTCTAAACGATAGCACTGAGCGTGACTCGATACGTTTTCCGTGTGGCCACGTCAGGGCATCTAGGTGCACACAACGCACAAATGAGTCCGGATCTATTCTTGACTTTTAATTACGAAGGATATAAACAAATGGCGACGATGAGGATAGAGTGCGCCCCTCTCTACCTACTCGACGAATTCTCTATGAGCAGTACATAATATATTAACTAATTTGTAAACTAAATACGACTGACAAAGGATCAAATACCGGTAAAAAGCTTTTCTATGTTGTTGCATCAAGCTGGCAATGATCTCACGCTGAGATTAATGCCGTACGTAAACATGACATATATTCAAAGATACATTATATCAATACGTCTGCTTTTCACATTTCCAGACGGTTTAGAGCCCGTGTTATCTTGACGACGACCAAACATGATAATTTAAGAAAACGCAGGTATAGTGAGTTTAATAATTCCTGAGGTGTTGCCCATTGCCGAGAGCTCGACTAATCCGTTACCTACCTAAATGCTCAATTATTTACTCTCTTTGATTTTTTTTCACGAAAGTTACATGTTCGACCAGTCCAGCCTTTTTCTGCCACCACATAGGTATCGGTTGCATGCGTTCCGTAAGTTAAAACAACTCGACGTAAGTTAACGTATAACACGTTCGGTATGAAATTGACGACACGATGTCTTGTTCATTTCGAACAACAATCGTACTTCGTATGCGTGATTATATACCGTGTTGTTAGATTGCTCCTACATGGACGGGTCTACAGAAAAATGGGTTTATTTAATCGGAATATTAGCCGAATTACAATGGCCTCATGGCGATCGCGTTTACGACGGCTTTAGACGTAGTGCACTAATTTGCAATGTCAAACGGTCGGATTTTTTAATTTAAATAAAAATATTTAATTAAGCACAATATAGAATGACGTATATCATAGAACATAAATTATTCTAGCTAAACATGAATTAACTGATAGAAATCCGATAGAGTGGTCTAGATGATTTGGCATTGCACGTCCATGGCTGCTAACTAATAATAATAATAAGTTACCGCAGATAAAAATCGGTTTCGCTCTTATTTTCCCAAGAATATACCCATTTCTGTGTACTCCATTCATATGGGTACATAATGAAAGTGTTTGGAACTTCCGTATGTTAAATCGGTTTAGCCATTTCTGGTTAGGACCTCATCTGAAGGCACCTACATTCGTAATTCCGTTTTCAACGTTTTACATGGTACCTTTTTTGTATAAAATTCCAAAATGATACCTAGAGACTATACGAAATGCTTCAGGATTGTCTCAGCCGCTTTGCCTTTGACACGAAACGCTCACATGTCCTATGCTTAGGCAAACACGTTACTACTGTGATGCGACATGCAGGGACCATGTCACCGATTACGTACTGAGCGATATGACTAGATTCTCGCTATATACAACTGGTTCAGGACGAAAAAAAGAACAAATAAGAATCACAAGCCGAATATAGACTACCAACAGCTGAACTACAATTCGACGAGGGTTTGAGATGAGGTCTGTATAGCGGGTGCGTAGGTGAGGCCTGATTTATCGCAAGCCTTTCTGTCCTATTTTTAGTATCAAGGTTCAAACATTTCGGCCGTTTAGCGGCATTTGGTGTTAATGGAAGCTAGTTTTTGAAGGTAGTGAAGACTGCAAACAACCAACAGTTGAGATTGATTGATCAGAAATTTGCCTAAAACCTAGGGAGCTTCAGATTGGCGAAAAAAAGACTGAGCACAAGTAGCTGCGGTAAGTGGCTCTCCCAGCAAAACTTTAGGAAACATAGACGTTCACAGACGTACCTTCGCGCATAGAGGTCGTTCCACTGGCGCCAGCAGAAACGTCAGGTCGGCAGCTACATTTGATGTGGATATACATGTACACTCGCTGAAGATTAGTTCTC